AGAAAGAAAGAAAGAAAGAAAGAAAGAAAGAAAGAAAGAGAAAATTGCACCCTTTCAGGAGAAGGCAAAGACAGAATGGAGAAGGGGCCTCTTCCTTTTGCCACTTGAGCTGAGTATGAAAGGTTTGTTTCCATCTGGAATGTAGGCTGAGTAGAAAGGTCAGCTGGGTGCTGTCTCTGCTTCCTTGAACTAAAAGGATTTAAACAGCATGTGGCTCCTCTTTATTGGTAAAATTGAATTGATGGCATTTTTATTCTTTAAAAAACATAGGTTTGCTTTAGACTTCTTATTGCCCTGCCTGACTGAGAAAGGATCTGTGCCATAGCAAAAAGCAAGGAGAGAAAGGATAGTGGGGGAAGATTTCTGGAATCCACAGGAGATAAGAGGTGCATGGAAAGCTGCCAAGACCAGTCTGATTTGGAGCCTGGAATGACAGAAGGTCTAGGAAATCAGAGAGAGAAGAGAAGCTTGTGGGCAGCCTAGCTGGTTTTCTGGCAGGAATGACCACTGGTTTCCCAGGATCTTCCTGTTGGAATTGGATGCTGGGATACAGCTAAGAGTGGGGAGAAGTAATATAGGATGGGGAAGTCTGTGGAATCCATAGAAAATGTGGACAGCAAGCAAGAAAGGTTGCAGCAGGTGTTCTGTTGAACCCCTAAGGATGTATTTAAGGAATGGGGTCTGGAGGAACAGAGAGAAGAATGTTTCAGGCATTCCATCTGGTTTTCTGGCAGGCATGGCTTCCATTTGGCTTATTGTGTTGAGTTTACTTCTTTATAATTTTCCACATGTATTCAATAATTGCAGGTATGCTCCCCCTATCAACACTTGTCAACACTCATCCTTAACTGTCCCTTTAACAGTTTCATATTTTTTATTTGGATTCATCATGGTCATCTGCATGACCATTGAATTCAGATTGTACCTTGGACAATAGTGTACTCATCAATTGTTACACAAGTAAAATTTTTAACTGTCATTGCTTTGGGTGTCTTTGCAGGACATAGTATAACAGGATAAGGAAGACAATCCCCTCACTTTTCTTCAGCTCATACTTAACAGAACCAACCAGCAAACTTATCCCTATTTGTTGATATGATTGTTAATGCGATACATGTGTAGCCTGAAAGCAGGCAATGCACAGTCCTCATTTTATATGCATTTTGCATTCATTTCCTTACATTTCTTGAGTGTTGGAGCAGATGCTTTCGAAGTCCTTGTTTATTGATGGGGATTAAAGCAAAACTTCTACTCACGATATTCCACAGTCACACTTCTTGGCAGTCAGCACAGATCATTGTGAAGAGGCTTCTTTGAGTAAAAGGAGAGTGTTACTTTGCAATGTCTGTAAACACAAACATTCAGAAGATTGTTTGACAATAAGTAGATTAAGCTGAATAGCAGCATCGAGTTCCTCCTTATATGATATGACCTCCCTCCCCTCAACCATGAAATTTCATTCGGGCTTATAGTACCAGGAAGGAAATACTCTTTGATAAATATTCCTCCTGTGCATTTTAGCTACATTGTGTGTCCATAGATATATTCAATATGCAAACGTAGGAGCATTTCAGTCATGAATATGCTAAATCATTCACAGGTTTCTCTTAGTGATTATATTTTGAAACAATACATAAATCAAAGTATAGCAAACACACGATAAAAATAAAAATTCAAAGATTCACTGATTCATTATTAAAGAATAAGCAAAGCCTATTTTTAGAAAGAAGTGTTATTTTATATAAATTAGTTAATAATCATGTATCATGTTGCTTAATTAAGTCAGAGATAGAATTCTATGCCTAAAGCATACATTGTGCAATAGAAAATCAACAACAAATCACTCATAACAGAAGCAAACAAATAAGCTCTGAATGTTGAAAACAGTTGAGAAAATATCTTGAGAAAAGAAAAACAAACAAGAGAGTAAAACAGAGATTTTATTGTCCTGAAAATGCACTTGATAAATATTTAACTGAAATATTAAACATGAGGAAATCCATTGATGTGGTGTTAGCTGTCAGAAATTCACAAAGGTTTGAGGTATGTAATAGAAATAAGGCATTAAAAACAGAGGTGTATATGTTTTTCATTCAAGATAAAAGACACAAATGTTTAGGAGCAAAGTATTCAGATTTTCTTTTTTTGAATGACTAGAAATAGTTCAAAAGTTCTCTCTCACCATATGTTAAAGTTTTCTGTAGCTAAATATAACATCATATTAGTAGTGCAGAATTTAAGCTTTAAGAACAAAATGGTCTGTTTTATTTCAAAATTTTTAAGAGTATGAAACAAACTAGACTATTATTGGATTATGAGAAAATGTGAGTCTCATATTTGAGAACAATACTTTTTGTTAATTAATTTTGTTAATTAATTACAAACACTGTTGACCATATTGTACAAAATACATGACCAGAATTAGAGATTATTTCCACAAGGGGATGTAAGAATCCAATTAGAAATATACACTATTATTCGGTAATCTTATGACTTATAATACAGATGCAACCTACACAGAGGAATAGCATTGAGCTTCTTTAATTTTTGTCACCATAGATGAAGATGGCTTTGTAGATTTGAAATGATTCATAGAGTATTTAAATATATGTTTCTTAAACAATAAAGGAGAGTGAGTCAAGGAACATTTCAATGAGTTGAGGCTGAGTAACAGCTTAGGGGGAAGGGGACTACCTGAGGATTGAATCACAGACACTTGATTTCTGAACAGATATGGAGCAGTGTGTGAAGTGTCCAGAAAGTCACTATGCAGACCCAAAGAAGAACCACTGTCTCAAGAAAACTGTGAGCTTTTTGGCCTATGAAGACCCCCTGGGGATGGCTCTCACCATCACAGCACTGTGCTTCTCTGCACTGACAGCACTGGTCTTAGTAGTCTTTGTGAAGCACAGAGACACAGCCATTGTCAAGGCCAATAATCGGGCTCTCAGCTACACCCTGCTGTTGACACTCATCATCTGTTTCCTCAGTTCCTTGCTCTTTATTGGCCAGCCCAACACAGCTACCTGCATCATGCAGCAGACAGTGTTTGGAATTCTGTTCACTGTGGTTCTATCTACAGTGTTGGCCAAAGCTATCACAGTGGTTATTGCATTCAAGGTCACTGTTCCAGCTAGATTGGTGAGGTGGTTAATGGTATCAAGAGCCCCTAATTTCATCATTCCTTTCTGCACACTGATCCAACTTATTCTCTGTGGAGTCTGGTTGTTTTCCTCTCCACCCTTTGTTGATCAAGATGCTCATGCTGAACATGCCCACATCATCATCATATGCAACAAGGGTTCAGCAGTTGCTTTCCACTGTGTCCTGGGATACCTCTGCTCCTTGGCACTTGGGAGCTACACCATGGCCTTCTTGTCCAGGAATCTGCCTGACACTTTCAATGAAGCCAAGTTTCTGTCATTCAGCATGCAGGTGATCTTCTGTGTGTGGGTCACCTTCCTCCCTGTCTACCACAGCACAAAGGGGAAGGTCATGGTGGCTATGGAAGTCTTCTCTATCCTGGCCTCCAGTGCAGCACTGCTTGGCTTGATCTTTGCCCCCAAGTGCTACATCATTTTGATAAGGCCAGATAAGAACTGCTGTGTTGACATCAGGCACAAAACCCATTCCAGAAGGAATGTTCATTTCAAATGTAATTAAAAATTAAAATTATTCTATGTTAGTGAATTAAATATAATGGCTGAAGCAAGTATCCTACCATTCTTAATATCTTATTCAGTGTCCCTCCGTCGCTTAGTCTCTAATAATATGATGTGATTTTGTTGGGTCATAATTTTTCATTTAATTTCAATAAAGTGTGCTAGTTTTGACAGCACATATGCTAAAATTGGAATATATATGGAAGATTCGCATGGCCCATCCACAAAGATGACATGCAAATTTGTGGAGCATTCCATATTTTTTGAAAACAGGATCCTTCAATCTGCTGGATACAATAAAGATAAACATTACCTCAGAGTAAAGGGCTGGAAAAAGGTTTTCTAAGCTAACAAACCTAAGAAGCAAGTTGAAGTAGACATTCTGGTATTTAGTAAAATAGACTTTCAACCAGAATTAATCAAAAGAGATGGGGAAGGGCACTTCATTGTCATCAACTGTAACATACTAAGATGATGTCTCAATTCTGCATATCTATGCCCCATACACAAGGACATCCACATTCATAAAAGAAACATTACTAATATAAATCACACATCAATCCGCACAAGTTAATAGTCGGAGATTTCATCATCCCACTCTCACCAATGGACAGATCATCAGTACTGAAACTAAACAGAGAAATAATGAAAATAACAGACATCATGAATCAAATGGACCTAACATTTATCTACAGAACATTTTACCCAACAAAAAGAATATACATTCTTCTCAGCACCTCAGGGAATATT